ACCCCTCGAGGAGGGACGCGGTGCTGTGGGTGCTCCCTGTGCTCCTGGGGTACCTCTGCAGCAACCAACACAGCCTCCCTCGCTCCCTTCCCTCTGACTCTGCCATCGCCGCATTGAGCGAAGGCACCCATTTACAAAACAACCATTATCACTCTATATAAAATCTTTTCCTGCAGTGTTTCCTTACTTGGTTATCTTTAGCCTAACATTTTTGAGGGTACCAATGCTTTATCGCCATTAGCACAACAATGTGGAGGTGCTCAGAGCAGATACTAGGGAGCCTAATATTAAAACCAAACCAAGTTTTTTTTTCTTTCTAGTAGCTTTAATTACCCTAGGGTGCTTATAGAATCCATAGCTAGAAGATTATGAAAGTGAAAAGATCTGCTTCTATAAAATGGAAAGAGTCCAGCGTAGGGCTACAAAGATGATTCAAGGATTGGAGCATCTCCCTTATGAGGAGAGACTGAGAGAGCTGGGACTCTTTAGTCTGGAGAAGAGAAGGCTGAGGGGAGACCTTATCAACGCCTACAAGTATCTCAAGGGAGGGTTGAAGGAGGAGGGAGCCAGACTCTTTTCAGTGGTTCCCAGTGAGAGGACGAGGGGCAACGGGCACAAGTTGGAACATAAGAGGTTCCACTCAAATATGAGGAGAAACTTCTTCACGGTGAGGGTGACAGAGCCCTGGAACAGGCTGCCCAGGGAGGTTGTGGAGTCCCCTTCCTTGGAGATTTTCAAAACCCGCCTGGATGCAGTCCTGAGTAACATGCTCTAGCTCTGGGCAATCCTGCTTCAGCAGGGGAGTTGGACTAGATGATCTCTATGGTCCCTTCCAACTCTAGAAATTCAGTGAAATTCAGTGAAATTCAGTGAAAATTCAGTGAGAGGAGTCTCCCAGCAGCCTGGGAGGAATAATAATTAACAGGCCATGACACAGGAGAGCAGTGTGGCGAAGCAGTAGGTGGACCTCTCAACCGCTGCGGCGAGCTGGTTCCTCTCAAAGGCTTAGCAACTATGGGTGAAACCAGGAGTACGTGCCCTCAAGGCACAGGCAAAGGCTGCTGTGGTGGGGTATCCTCTCCTGCTCACCTCCTGCCTCCAGCAACGGTGGTGTCCCCTTCATTAGCAAGACCACTGCCCTGCCAGCTGGATCCTGGTGAGGACCCAGTGGCACGTAGTGCTTCTGATGACAGTGGCCACAGCTCTGCCCTGCCTCCTGCCACTGCTGGGTTCAGCAGGCTGTCCCTGGACCAGAAGAGGGCTTTGTGGAAGCCACTGGTCCATCCGGCATGTGTTGCACAGCCCTGTGTCCCGCCTGCCCACGTTTTTGGCTGCCATCTTTGGACAAAAAGCCATGGTAGCCCTATTATGGCGTTTAACCTCGAGCCGCTAGACTCAGCTCCTAAAGGTCTGGGAAGGAAAAGGTGCAGTGGTACTTCCTATCCGTGCTTTCCTTACCAAGCCAAAATCATGCCAATTGGCTAATCTTTTTTTTTTTTTTTTTTGTAAATGTTCACATTAGCCTATTTTTAAATGTTCTCAGCCCTGGATCAGTCTTTCTGGGAAACAGCTCCACCATCTAGTGATGTCCCCAGTGGGAGATTTCCCTCAGCAGTGTCATCACCAGGGTCTTTCATGCCAGCTCAGGCATCTTAGTCCATGTCTCTGGAAATCCCCCTTTTTTTTTTCCCCAGCACTCATCCCATGGTAACAGCATCCTACCACCTAATTCACAGTATATTATGAGTTCAGTCCTTCTGGGAACAGCTCTGTCATGGCTTCAAAGCCAAAAGGTTTGTGAGAAGATGCACGTGTCCTCACCCTTTTCTCACCCTCTCAGCAGAAAGGCTGCTTTGAGGAGATTGGGGTGAAAACAGGAGGATGAAACGTAGCTGACCCTCTCGGCCACCAGGGCAAGGAAGACTCAGGTTTAAGCGTGGGAGGATGAGCTGTGAAAGGTATTTTGAGGAAAAAAAATTGCCCAATCAATACAGAGGAATGGAGGGCAGAACTGGGATGAAGAGATTGGAGATGCAGGGTCTATCATCTGCCACTGCCACCCTACTGGGTTTTCAGATTTATCGCTCTCTCTAACACCGTTCCCTCAGGCTTTTGAGGAGCTTCCTGTAAAGCTCAGCAAAGCCTGATGTTGTCTATATCTCAACTCTCTTCGCTTTTGTCCCTAGGAATATTTTGCCAATATTTACTCCTTTCAAAACTAACAATAATAAGACAGTTCCAGAAAGCCTATAGCAGTGGGCTACCTACCGTCTGTAAGAGTCAGTAGAGATGGAGTAACAGATAAATAAAAGTATTCCAGGAAATTTTTTCCTCCTTTTTTTTTCCTTTTTTTACTATTTAAGATGTCAGGAAGCTCACTACATTTTCCCCCATGCTTTTGTGCTGGCTGCCTCCCAAAGCTCCCAGGTTCCCTGCAACTCCAGTGGCAGCAAACTCAAGACCTGAGAACTTTCCTCAGGAACTTCCCGGCCACTTCTTATCTGCTCGAGTGGCTCAGCGAGCTGGGGAAGGGGCTGCACAAACACACATGCAGAGAAAAAGCTCTGGGTCTGATGTAATTTCGTTGGCTGGAGACCTCAAGCTGCAGCTGGGAGCGGGGCCCAGGGCTTTCAGCAGCAACATGGACCTGTTGTAGCAGGTTCAGAGGAGGGCCATGAAGATGAGCTCTGAGGGCTGGAGCACCTCTCCTATGAGGACAGGCTGAGAGAGTTGGGGTTGTTCAGCCTGGAGAAGAGAAGGCTCCAGGGAGACCTTATAGCAGCCTTCCAATATGAAGGGGGTCTACAAGAAAGCTGGGGAAGGACTGTTTGCAAGGGCATGTAGTGATCGGATGAGGGCCAATGGTTTTAAACTAGAGCAGGGTAGGTTTGGATTAGACATGAGGAACAAGTTCTTTACAGAGAGGGTGGTGAGACACTTGAACAGGTTGCCCAGAGTGGTGGTGGAGGCCCCATCCCTGGAGACATTCAAGGTATCTCAATGTCACCATCCCTGGTGACATTCAGACCCTCACTCAAGATGAGGCTCTGAGCAACCTGATCTTGTTAAAGGTGTCCCTGCTTGTGTGTGTGGGGTGGACTAGGTGGCTTTTAAAGGTCCTTTCCAACCCAACACATTCTATGATCTCTGCTGCGAGCCATCGGCCCCAAGGAGCAAGCCGGTGGGTGTCCCCATGGCCTGCCTGCCCCCAGCCCAGAGACCTCCTTGGCCACACTGCCCTCATGC